CTTTAAAAAGCATATACTAAAAATATTTTTTATTATAAATATATATTAAAAATAGTAATTAGCATTAATTTTAATATTAATTTAAATAGATAAATTTAATTAAATAATAAATTTAACAAAATGATATCCATGGCTCTACACATCATATCCATGGCTCCTTCTTCGTTTTCTTGTAACAAAATGATTGCACTGAATTCGTCCAATTTTTTATGGCCTAATTACCACTTTTTATAAATGTGATTAAATATAATGATCTAAATTTTATTTTTAGGCCTTACTTTTACAGTTCCCTGTGAATTCCTCCTGTTAAAAATAAAAAAAAATTGATTGCACTGAATTCACTTTGTTTGAAGCATCATCACATGTGCTCTGCACATCGCGTCATTTCTTGAAAATCGAATTCAAAAAAGTAGTAAAATGATTAAAGTTTGTCATCATTATAGCTGCTTTCGGTGGATTGAGAAAATGGAGAAAAGGAAGGGAACTCCGAATGTAGAAGAAATGGAACCTCATAAGCCCAAAAGTTCTAACATTTCACTGCTTCTAGTCTTGGAAATGTAGAAAATAGAACCTAAATCAACGACAAAAAATTGGCGGAATTATTCAATGTAGAACAGCCTCTCGAGCTTCTGCTATCATTTCTATGGTTCTCGTTTCATTTTCTTTGTACACAAAATGATTGCACTAATTTCCTCCAAAAAAAAGAGAAAAAATAACAATGCACTGTGTTTTCTTGTATAAAATCTGAAATCTCGCACTCTCCCTGCCTTTTCTTCCAACTCTTGTTTAGTCTTTCTGAGGAAGATGGCGGAATCATCGGCGGCGGGTATATGTACTAGTGGGGGAAAATATTCTTGGGGCAAAATGTAAGATGGGAATAACTTTTTCTCTAGTCTGGATCGGATTCTTCTTGAAGTGAAGCACACGAGCGGGTAGAAGAATTATTAATTAGCTAGTAATAGGTCAACTAGTGGGGGAAAATATTCTTGGTATTCCTTTTCCTCTTTACATGTATATGTACTAAATAATATGTTTTGCTTTTGGCTGATAAAAAAAAAAATCTTCATATAATATGTTAATATGCTATAATTAAGACTTGTTTACAGTGCAGTTGATCTCTAAGCATCAACGAATTATTAAGGGAAGAAAGAAAACAAGAGAGAATAGGACATATATGTTACCTGCCTATAAAGACATGAGAATATTGTGGAGCAGTCTGTTTGTGCGAAATTATTTTTAACCTTAATTATTGTTGAAGTGAATATATTTTGCAAAAAAAAAAAAATTATAGTTCAGACAAGCCAAATTAATTTCTTTCAAATAGAGAAAAAGACTAGCAAAAAGTATAACCATAAATTTAACATATATTCATCATTTTCCAAATCAATTAATTAGTGGTATTTTACAAATAATGAGACTCTATTAACAGGTAAGATAAATCATATACACAAGATGCATCTCAAAACAAACTCATCTTACATTTTTTTCAATTCCTTTAGATTAAAAAAAAAAAAACCATTGACTAATAATAATTAACTTGGAAGATTCAAATATATATAAATAAATTATTAATAAAAAATCATTTTTGCCAATTAAAAAAAAAAAAATCTTTGGAGAGTGGGGGACGGAGCAATGTGGGAGTCATACGGGCAATAAGTGGTGGGGCAGACGAAAACTTCCATCCATGCCAAAATGTCCAAAATGAAAGTTGAAAGATGAAAAGTTACTAGAAAGAGACTTAAATCCTGTCAAATCAAATTCCAATACATACACACAGATTACGGAACCTAGGCAGAACATGACCACTC